GTCGTGGTCTGGAAGAAAGCTGCAAAGGACTGGCTTCTATTGGTCCTTCACTACTCCCTGGTTGATATCCCAAAGGTATCACAACAGTGACTACAGATGTTCGCAATAGAAGCTAGTAGCGATCTTTCTGTAACTTTCTTCATAAAAGCGAACGTAACTTCTTTAATTGAAAGAATTATTTGTGATTGTATATTTCATAGCTGAACTATTTCTCTCATTGTTATTATTATTTCTGGACGATAGCAATAAACGTCAGATAATTTCAATTTCTATGAAATGAACATGTAACTTGTTCTTCTTGACTAGAAATAATGGTTGCAGTTAGATATTTGAATTAATTCAAATAACTAGATTGGATTGAATAAATTTACTTCTAATATCCTTATCGTATATACTTTAAATTTAATAGATTTCCCATTTTTATATTTTAGATATTTCCACATCCAACAAATATTCAAACAACAATGAAATATGATTTAATTCTTGATTGTATTCGACCGGATTATTTGAATACAACAACTTCATTAACCACATCTTCATCATCATCGTCGAATACACAATTGAAACAATGTCATTTCATTGATCATTTATTACCTCAACTACCATCTATGTTAACTTATTTAAATACATCATCAAATCGTACACGTTATATTATGCTTAATCCACCATTATTATATTTAAATGATTATTATGGACCATTTATTGGTAGTGGAATAGCATATTCACAATTATTGTATAGTAATATTGCAGCATTATTCTCTAACAATAATGTTTATAATACTAATTTAAATAAAATACGTTGGGTATTTTTTAAACCAAATAATAAAGTATTAAATTATCTTTTAAATTTACTTTCAAATAAACAATTAATAATACCAGTGGATACTGTTTATCAATTTAATCATGTACCAGATGCATTTCATCGATTGTATACTAAAGGAAAACGTGGTAAACTTGTAATTGAAGTGAATAATTAATAAATAATCTTTCTTTTACAATAATTTAACTTTTTATTTTGGAATAAAAGGCCTAGGATAAGAATGGGTTGGAGAATGCTGGTCGGCGGCCTATGCTCCAGGTAAGTAAGTAAGTAATAGTTTAACCTGACACATACTGGAAATTCAAGATATAATACTATTAGTTACACGATCGTGCTTGAGACTGATAGTTTAGTGAACCAAAACATCAATGGGGATAATCGAATGTATTTGAGCAGAAAATTACAGAGCATCTTAAATAAAATCTGAGAACTATATGGTAAATCGTTAATTTCCAAAATATCAATTCATCATATCAAACTTGACTGTTCCTGTTGCAAACATCAATATGTTGTCTCATATTTCATTGTTCATGCGTTTTCATTACCAATTGTATTCCGTTCCCGTTCTTTCCTCATCGACCTTCTACTGAAATACATTCTATGACTGACCGTCGTTATATACTACTTGTGTGGATATAAGTAATCCACACCACAATATATCCTGGATTCGAATCTTGCGGGATGGTGGATGCGCATTGCTGAGAAGTCACACAATAGGACGATATGGCCGTCCAGTGCTTCCATGGTGATCTAGCTTCAATTGACTCATGATTTCAACTATTGAAATAAGCTATTGTGACGAGATTATAATTTATGGATGAGTCAATCAGAAGGGTTTGTGGGAGTTCAAGGTCACGACGCTCATTTCAGTTCCTAATGCTCATGTACGATCAGTTTAGAGTGGATTTTATAGAAGACGTGATCATTGAGGGGCTATAACAAATGGGACTACTTATAATTTTCTTTATTTGTGACTGTCGTACCGTGTGCAGACTATCGTGATGAGATTGTCTTTCGATGTTATTCATGTTCGAGGAAGAAGTTTGTTCGAACAGGAACTTTCTTCGCTCGATCCCAATTGAGACTAAGGAAAATCATGATGATTGTTGCGAATTGGATAATAAAATCACCAGTAACACTGGCTGCAACATTTGCAGATGTTATTTAAGCTTCAGCTGTTCAGTTGTATGAGTATTGTAGAGATATATGCGCAATAAAAATGAAAAGTGTGGAGGAGTTCGCAGAATCGTTGAAACAGTAGTGAGAAGGCGAAGATTTAACAGAGGACGTAGTATTAAGGAAGACTAGGTAAGTAGCACTTCCATAAATATACCTCACAAGTACTTGGAGTTTACGACAGATCAACCCAAAAGGGACACTTCCAAAGGGTCAGAAACCGACAATAATACCAACTATACGGGAATACGTGCAGCCAGCTACTACAATACATTCGGATGATTGAAGAGCCTACCAATGCCTGCATAGACTTGGCTATATGCATCATGTCATTGTCCACAATCACCATTTTTTGGACTCTACAACAAGAGTGCACACTAACAATATTGAAGCTATGTTGTCGAGGCTAAAGTAGTTTCTACGACCCTATCATGGAGACATATGGATGAGTTCCTCTACCTTATGCAATACGATTTCAGAACCTCTTTCAAACCTTGATAAGTCTTTGAATCGTGTAAAAGAAGTACATCCACCTTAATTCTTTGGTTTTTTATAATGTATCTCATTTCGTATTAATTGTCTTCTGATTGCCTAATGTTTTCCAAGGTCACTTAAGGTTGGCCATAAATTATAGCCTCGCCTATCACTTATATCAGGTTGTAGTAATTACCCATTCTACATCAATCTGTTATTGTTTTATTAACAATAGTTACAATAAGAAATTCGTAACGAAAAATGATGTAACAAACATTAACATGGTTGCTGTCCACTTAGTTGGAACTTTGATATCAGAATTGGCTTGCATAAAAACTGAACCGCCATATAGATAACATAAGATACATCAATATAATGTAGACGCAGATTAATAATACAAGATTAACCAGGAATCTTTTGTTTCCCGTCCAATGTTATACTATTCGAATTACAAAATAAAGCGTCTAATCAACTTGCAAGTCTTATCTCAGTTACGGATTTCTCCTAACTAATGGGGTGATAGGACAAATTCTTTTATCATACAATTGAACCGAACAGTAATTATTTTATATCATACGAAGACTTGAATTTAATGTGTAATGTAGAATTTCTGATAGAATTTAACGAAGTATTTATTTCCCTGTCACTTAGTAAGTGATGAACACTGCTATCAATGATCCTTAAAACCTGTTCATAAAATAAATAATCAATAGAAGTTTACAAATTAATCTAAACACTAGTTCATTAAATTGCTTAATCCTATAGAACAGATGTTGAAACAAATATAGTAATTCAGTAATACTTCTGGATAGAATACATATGGCATCAGACTCGAATGCGTCTCCCCCGACTGGCTAACTTTAAAAATGTGTAGGAGTTAAGACGGCTTTGTAAAATAAAATGTCCCCTGAGTCATGCGTATTAAAACTTACTTCATTCAATTCTTTATTTAGCTTGTCAATTTTTTTTTATCAGTCAGTCAGTCATCAACAACGTAGAACTTCGTACGTATGTACATCAGTTCGAGTTGCCATACCACATTGTCAATTCAAACCCCATTGTGGTAGAGGTAGTAAGATTATAAGCAGTAATCGGAAAGATTAGGGTTTGAAGATGTTATTCAAGCAGTATAATCCAATGAAATAAGTTTGGAGAGAGGAAAAAAGGAGCATGAAGAATTCAGATTAGAATTTGGGAGAACACAAAGAGTGGATGCACCTGCACCATTGCAAAAGATTTTGAGCCAAGTCATTTAAGGTCTCTAATCATCGGTTGCTATCGCCTCGCGGATTCCAACCAGGTAGTCTACATCTACCAACATGACTGTCCACTTGTCTTTGACTTCATGGATTTGTGCCATGTTTTGGTCTGGCCGCCCCTAGCTTTCTTCCATCCTACTCCTACACCATGAAACATCGCATGCCGGGTCAGTCGGTCGTTGGGCATACGTAACACGTGTCCCAGTCATCTCAACTGATGAAGTTTCACTACTTCAATTGGTTTGCAATCCTTACCTAATACCCGTTTCCTAGCAACTACAGTACTTACTCGTTGGTCCTAGGATATACAAGCAATGCTTCGAAGACACCTATGATCGAATACTAGTAACCTACGAATATCCTCTAATCTTACCGGCCATGCTTCACTGCCATAAAGTAGGACGGGACGAACTGCTGCGCAGTAAACACGTCCTTTGGTTGGTAGACGGATATCTCGCCTACGCCATAAATGACGCAAGTTGGCAAAAGCTAGTCGAGCCCTCTATATCCGTCCTGAGATTTTGTCACATACCAGACCACAAGGGCTGATGAGACACCCAAGATAAGTGAAGCGGTCGACACACTCAACTACTTCACTCCCTATCATTAATTCAGGTGTCGATGCAACCCAATCCTGAAGCAACATTTTGCATTTCGAGGGGGAGAATAGCATTGTTGCTTATAGTGGTCAGAAAGGCTCTGCATTTTTTCAGCGTTTTCACCAAATAGAACTATGTCATCGGCTTATTCTAAATAATTAATTTCCAAATTAACTGATACTATGAAATGGTGGAGGGGTACCTAGCTTGTCGTATGCCCTGATGGTGTTCTTGTAACTTTGGGGTTGCCTGATCTACCAAGGGCGATGGGACAGTACATGATACTATTGTTATGTACTAGGTTAAAAAAGAATTGTATGCTTTATGCATACAAATCCGCCCCATTATTGTTCCTTGAGATGGTGGAGATCCACGACCAAACAATCTAGCTCAGAGAACAAAGCTCCATCAAAATAACTAATACTATTCATTTCATTGAATTTCTTTTGTTATGGGAATTGATTGAGAGATTAAACATACATATACATACAATAACAACATGGTAAACTAATTGTACCAGAAGAAATAGTCGGTAAAACTATTCACCCAAACAAAAAATGATTCGAAATATTCGGTCATTATATGATGTGAAGTACAGCTGATTATCATAGAAGTTGTTCATGACAATATTTTATACATTATTGACCATGTTATTTTAAGTCATATTTGTATTTAACCAGGTTTAATAAATACTTTCGGTTTATTGAATATTTCAATAGCTTGTTCTAGTTCACTGAGACGACTTTCAATTTCTGCACGTCTAGAACGAATTCTCAATGTATCCATACGTACTGGGAGGTGAGAAAATTCCTCTGACAACTGAGTATGAGCTATAGAGAAAATCAAAGTGTAATTAATGTGTCGTAAATAATTAAATTTTTAATTATTAATATCACAATGAGATGGTGGAGAAGATTTGTAGCTCAAGTAGATGATTTTGATGGAGGTTGTGTTCACGACTAAATCATCCAGCTCAGAGAACAAAACTTCATCAAAATTGTTAATATCATTTATTTAGCTAAACACATAAACATTGGTACAAGGAGGCACCAAAAATATATGCGTCACATAAATGATTCGATGTGTGAGGGCTGGGATACTGCCCTGGTGCCCAAACTGAAGTAGGTGGTTTTTCTTAGGGTGCCACACTCGAAGTCTTTGACATAAAAGGTCTGATTCATAAGACAGTGGAGCAACGTCAGAAGATGCAGTCCCATGGTGTCATTATTTAGTGTTGGAGAAAAAGTCAATTTTCATCTGACCAATTATTAGCCATTTTAAAATAACAACATGACTGGCTATTTCTCACACTTTATGGAATTAAGATCGAGAAATGTGGAAGAAGGATTCTATTTGGCAAAAGAGATTCATTTTAGATGGTTCAACAACCTTGATAATGTTCAGAGCCGTGAAAATAAATCTCAGAAATCTTAATTTTACAGAAGTCAAGTTCCAACAACGTTTTACGTGATAATTAAAATTTTATTGTTGAATGTCACTATTTAAAGAGGATGTTACTATAAATTTCCTAAAATCTCCTGTTTAAAATTATTCTAGAATTAGTTAAACATTATTTTAAAAATATTTAGATCAGCGAAACGTAACATCACTTCCACATGAAGCCCTCAAATACTCTGGTACGGCAGAATGGGGAAAGTCAACTCTCCCCTCGAAATGTTCTCATATGGCCACGTGCATACAACCAGTCATACAAGTCCTACTCACTGCCCTTTCGCAGCGTGGATGTTTTTTACGAAATTGAGAGGACAAAAAGCAAATGTCCAGCGCTTTAACCGGGTTGGTGGATATGTAGGATCCACCTACGAAGTTGGAAAAACTCTGATTCCAAACAAATGATACAAATAGACTACAGGATCCTGAAGGAACAAATGGCGTATGAACCAATCGTTGGTCACCGGTAACCATGGGACTGCATCTCTTACCATGCTCCACTACCTTGGGAATCAGATCTGTAGGTCGAAGGCTCCGGGTGTGTCCTCCTAAGGAAACCACCCACTTCAGTTTGGGCATCTCAGCCCTCACACAAATCGAATGATTTATTTGGCGCATATCTATTTGGTGCCTCCTTGTGCCAAAGTTTATGTATTTAAATAATAAAATAATAATAATAGTGTGAAGCAGGTAGTGATTTGGTGTCCAGAACGGCAAAATAAAATCACCATTAAATCATCTATCTTAAGAAAACCTACCAGTTTTAGTTTTAGAAAAATATGTACCCTTAAGCACTACTGAGAAAGAGAATAAAAGGAAAGTTAATATCTATTCCCTTTTCATTTCATTCAACATAATTTGTAAACTGATATAACGGATGGTTTGAAATATTTTTTTTCTCTCAAGTACACTACGATAATACGTTAATACGATAATGAGACTAATCACGTTAGATTAGATCCAGGATTCAAGACCCAGGATAGAGAACTAAATTAACAGTAGATAATACTTTAGTCAATACAGTTACAAGCTATTAAACTCAGGGAATCTGAAGTAGAAATCAATGGGAGGAAAGGTAATTACATATATAATATTCAGTAGGCTAGGTGCCTGTTTGTTCACTGTCGGTCTCTAGCCCGGATAAAGAAGAAGGGTTGGACGTGGGGTCAGCATCTCAATCCCGTAGAAAAACAAGCTTGATGGAGAAAACGCTGAGCAGAGTAAACAACTTAAACTCTGATCTGGGAGTTGAAAGATCTTCATTTACAAGAATTATGACACCTCATGGTAAAAGCCGAGATTCTTCAAAAATCATGAGGCCGATGGCCCCTCTAACAACCAAAGCAACAATTATTATAGGTACATGAAATATCCGTACAATGTGGCATACTGGAAGAACTAATCAGATAGTCACGAATGGATCTCTATCTCAACCTTGGACATGATTCGAGAAATGAAGAACAAGACAGCAATTAACAACAGCTAAATAAGCGAGTGAAGATCAGCATTAGAACTGATAAACGGAAGTATGTGGAACATCTAGCAACGACAGTGAAGGGAGTAGCAAGAGAAGGGAAATATGAAACAACTATATGACACAATGAATAAACTAACAAGGGTGTTTAGTAAACCAGATCTAGCGGTCAAAAACAAACAAGGTAAGCCAACCACTGAGACTGACAAACGGTGGAACAGGTGGGTAGAGCACTCTAAAGAACTCTTGAACAGACCAATCCCACTGAACCCACCAGACATCAAAGAAGCACACACGCACATTCCTAAGGTTGTCACTCTATCAACAATAGAAGAAGTCAGGATGGCAATCAGACAGATCAACAGTGGAAAAGCAGAAGCACCTGACAACATATCGGCTGTAGCACTGAAGTCAGATATTGAAGTAACTGAAAACATGCTTCACATCATATTCTGAAAGGTTTTGGAGGAGTAACAAATGCCTATAGAATGGAAAGAAGAATACCTCATCAAGATACCAAAGAAAGGAAATCTCAGTATGTGTGAGAACTATAGAGGCATCCTACTACCATTCGTGTCAGCAGACGTTTCCAACAGTGTTGCTGAACCAGATGAATGATTCAGTGGACACTTAACTCCGAGACCAACAGGTCGGATTCCATAAGGATCGGTCGTCCACGAACCAAATCGCAACACTACTAACCATCGTTCAACAGTCCACTAAATGGAATTCGTCATTATACATCAAATTCATTGATTATGAGAAAGCGTTTGACGGTGTGGATAAGAAAAAATTATGGAACCTATTTCGACTTTATGATGTAGCCGGTTGCCTAAACAACACCATCCGGAATCCATACGACGGACTACACTGCGAAGTCGTGCATGGAGGACAGTTGACAGATACATTCCAAGTGACAACCGGAGTCAGACGAGTCTGCTTACTTTCCGACTTATTCTTTCTACTGGTGGTTGACTGGATTATAAAGACTTCCATATCTGAGGGGAAGCAAGGAATACGGTAGGCAGTTTGGATGCAGGTAGACGATTCGGACTTCTCGTATGACCTAGATCTTCTATAGAGAACAAACCAGCTTCCGGATTAAGAGGAAATTAGGAAAAGATGTTGGAAGTGGACGAGACATACATTGAGAAAATCATCAGATTGCATGACGAGGCAAGCGCAAACTTGAAATTCTGAAGGAAAAACAAAAATAGGAAGAACAAGGGACAGCTTGCATCGCGAATCAGGAGCAGATATGAAAAGGATGAATAACGACTGGGAAGGATTTTGCAAGACAGATTTCGATGCACAATTCTGGTGGGCGGTTTATATTTTTCCTCGAGGGGTAACAGGAGTAAGCAAGTACGACATATCATATGCTGTTTACATATTATTCTGAATAAGATATCTGATCTCATTTGTATTTGGATGAAAATCACATCAATGAATTAATACCTTTGTTAAGCAATTCTAATGTATTTAGACGTTCTTCTTCTGGCATTCTCTGATGTCCTGGAGGTTGATCTGGATCAGGTTGGTTTTCCAATTCTTTTTGAATCCGTTCTTTTTCTTTTTGTTTCATTTTGATTAGGCTAGAGAGAAATGATGATACATTCGTGTACATTTCTTGTTATTTTATTGTAGACAATCAGTTTATATATTAAACAGCTTTATTAGACTTTTACTCTTTTATCATGCATAAATAACTCAATATTTGACTAATTCAATGTTTTAATGAGGTGTTTGGATAAATATGTTTAATTTGAATATTAGGTTTGTGTATTATAAAGCAACGTCATGAAGTTTTGATGGGAATTCATGACTCATTAAAATTAACTAGATCAGCAGGGATCCGGATACCAATGATGACAGTGAATAACTAGTGAGTTTCCAATATCTAAACAATAGCTTTACACTACAGTGAATGAACAGTAATGTTTCGTGCGAAACTTGATGATCCTTGGGCTACATACAATAGAACAGCATACGTATTCACTACGAAATTAAAATGAAATACCCATATATTTTTGCAGGCATTCTGTCATTTCTGATATTGTCTTGTCCTAAGTACCTTACCAACTTCAAACAATATCAAACATCAGAAAAGACAGTAACTGAGATGGTTATCACGTAGCCAAGTCAACCAGATGTATACAGATTCCGCATTTTATTAGGTGTCTTCTTCTCTTTGGCTCAACAAGTTATCTTGTTATGGACAAGACATGTTTTAAAAAGCAATCAAATAACTGAAATTCTTCTTAATCGTCTATCCACAATAGCGATGTCCCATAATAATGTAATTGTTGAGAATGAACCAAACTAGAGTAATCAAGTCCATTTATAACCATTCGGATCTCGTATTGGTGACAAGCTATGCAAATTATCATATTAAAGATTATACAACTTTCCAATTATGGGATACTAAAAGCTCAATCAACTACCTCACTCACCCTTCTCATAGTTCATTCATACGTATATACAGCACAATTTTATTGATTTTTATCACACTCAAATACAACGTTTTACAGAAAAGAGTAATAGTTGACAATTCGAATTTATATAATTCAGTACAAACTGATGGTATTACTAAGCCGAATTATATTTAATTAATGCGGATAACTTTCTTAACACATTGGCAATCCTTATAGGATTAACTTTTGTGTAATATTTTTTTCTAAATGAAATGAGGAAATCACCCAACTGCATCACAAGGCATGACCTCACATGAAACCCTCAAGGTCAAAGGAAAAAAGGGAAGATCAAAGATCACATTACGTCAAGAATTGGAAACAGACATGATAAAAATCAACAAAAATTGGATAGAACTGGGAAGGCCTAGGACAGGGTGGATTGGAGAATGCTGGTCGGCGTCCTATGCTCTATTGGGAGTAGTAACAGATTTAAATAAGTGATCGTTTTTGGTCCAAATAATTGATTACTTAAATATGATGTAACATGGATAGACTAATAAAACTTACTAAGGTGGGATAACCCCACTTTTTAATCGTCTTTCAGGCCACATTCTTGATGTATGCGATATTTGTGATTTTGTTATATTTGAATCCGTTAGATGAGTTTTATCATTTAACGATAAAGAATTCATACTTGCTATCCGTCGAATTCCAGTTCTTTTTACACTTGGTGCTGTTGCCATATGAGCATTAGCACGAACAAAATTAATATCACGTCTGATAAATTCAACCTATTAATATAGAAAACAATTTAGATTATAAAACTGTCTATTTGTCTTACTTTTAATAGGAAGCAAAAAATGCTTATGATATTATTGACATCTCGAACTGATCGGAGTTAGACAACCACTGAGAATCTGAACCACAACGTCTGCTTCTTCTTAGCATGAAACTCTTCAACAATGAGCACCCACGACCTTGCCACCAGGGACCTTCAGTCTTTCCCCCGAATACCTAAGCTTCGAACCACTGAGCAGGAGTCCAATCATGTGCAAGTTGAACTCCATTCAATCTGCTGTATTACTCAACAGCCTCCAATTGTCTTAATAAAATACTACAGGTGTGCAATAAACCCCACTAGCCGATTACATTCATACTTGAGTCAGAGATAAACGCAGAATTTGAGTTTCTAGATGTTTGGCTAAGAAAAAAGCCGTACGTCTATTCACAAAGGTCTATATATAGAAAGTCAATATGAAGTGAGCAAAGTTTAATTACATTTAGTACAAAGAGAAAATTATCTTTATTCTTGAGAGCTAGAATAATGTACTGAAGACATGATCGACAGAAAAACTGAAAAATATCAGGAAGTGGATTTCCTCTCTGCTTCAGTGGCAGTAGCCTTAAACCAAAACACCTATTTGAAGGAACTCCTACTCTACGAAAAATATTTCTTATGGACATTTAGTTCAAAGAGGATGCGGCTGCATAGATCTTAAGAAACTAATTGTCGAAATCCAAAGTTTTTTATTCAAATGAGTTCTTTTTCAGTATATGCCTGACTCAAGGATGTGTCGAGGATTAACTATCGTTTTGGAGCACTTCAGTGTCCATCCATCAGTTAACCTGCCGCTGTGGAGTATATTATATTGGCTGCATAAAGCATTCTGATTTCAAACGCATATCCGAACACCTTCTAGCACAGGTAATAAAGGTGAATCTAAATCCGTTGATAACTCGATTACTGAACATCTAGTTAATTCTGATAATCTATCTTCACCAAAATCTTTATTCACAATTACTGATAAAGTCAGACAAACTGGTTCTAATGGAAGCTGGATAGGAAAATGTTACATAGTAAAGGCATTGGAAACCCATTAATTCAAGCCAGATCTCTGAGTTCAGAAGCGTTTATCTAATCCCTCAGTCTGCCAATTCGTTTTTATTTTTTGAGCTGTTTTATGGCACATGTTCGCTCTCTTATCTATCCTACCTAAATCTCGATAGTGTAATAAGAAAACGTAGATTATCAGAACTATTTTTATAGTTCTGATAATCTTCTACTGATCAATAATAGAATTTTTATGGTGGACTGTCGTTACATACAAAACTACTGAAAATCAATGCTAACTCCATACCTGGTTTTCCCATGGAGGAAAAATTCTGACGAGCTGAAAGTTAAAATGTGACACTTGTTCACCGGCTTTTTCGTTCTCGGTAGTCCTACAGATGACATTACTTAGCACTGAAAATTAATATTGATTTCAGTGAAATACGTTTACTTATATTTTTATCACTATGACCATGAATTCGTTATTTTTAAGTCAGTCAGTCAACTACAACGTAGTACCAGGCACATATATGCATCGGTCCAAGTTGCCATACCGCATTAGCACAATGAGATGAAGATCAAGTCCATTAAAGTAGTCAATTCAATCGTGGTAATATATAAAAGAAAGATTGCATATCACGATATAGTACAGGAAGAAAGAATTAGTTCGTAGAAAAATATGAGACGATTTTAATCTCATAGTTTAAATGAAGACAGAGATTGTATACACTACACCATTGTGATCGGTTCTGAGCCATGTCATCCAGAATCACCAACCACTGGTTACAATAGTCGCGCGGACACCAGCAAAATAGTGTGTATCTACCAACATAAATCATATCAGAAGTTAATGACTTCAAGCACTGATGCCACGTTTTGGTTTGGCCACCCCTAACTTTCTTCCAACCATCCCCAACACCGGTTAGCATTGCACGTCGTGGTAATCGGTGTTCAGGCATACGTAACACGTGGCCCAATCATCTCAGTCGATGAAGATTCACAACCTCATCAAATGATTTACCACCATTCCCTAATACCCTGTGTCTAACCTCACTATTACTTATCTGGTGATCTTAGCAGATGCGACAAATATTTCTAAGGCATCTGTCGTCAAATACTAGTAACTTACGATTATCTTCTACTCTTAATGGCCACGTTTCGCAGCCGTAAAGTAGAACAGAACGAACTGTCGCACAGTATACTCATCCCTTATTCGATAATCGGATATCTCGCCTTCGCTATTTTAGATAACATAGATTAGGTATAATAAATAAACTTACATTTTTAGCTGATTCAGCTTTTGGTACAGATGTTTTAGCTGAATTCAAATGTTTATGTATAGGTGAAATAGGTATACTACTTAAATATTTTAGATCAACTTCATCTTCAATATCACGAGAATGTGCACGTAAATATTCTGTTTTTTTAATTGATTGAATTGGTGTTAATGTTGTTCGTTGTATATTTTTATCAGATTTATTTGTTCTTAATGATAAAGATTGATGAGATTGTCCCTTATTTTTAGAAGAAACATTATGTGAATTAGGCATATGTGGGGGAATAGTTTGCTTCAATTGATCTATATAATTATCAGTTTGTGTAGATATTGATGAGTTGTTTGATTGTAGATATTTGGGATTATCAGTTTTGTTTAAATTAATACTATATTTATTTTGTTTACTAGATTTGATTGCATCAGTTCTTGATAATGACTGAATTGATGTATTAAATCCAGTCTAATAAGCAAATAGAAAATCATTGTTAAACACAATTATTTAACAGTAATCAGTTTATCATATAATAAAAATAATTCAATAGTTGAAATCATGAGTCAATTGAAGCTAGACCTGGAAGCACTGGAAGGTCGTTTCGTCCTATTGTAGGACTTCTCAGCAGTGCACATCCACGATCACACCTTGCGAGATTTCAACTCATGACCTATCGGTCTCGTGCGCGAACACTTAACCTCTAGACTACTGAGCCGGCATCCAATGGTGTTAATGTCTAACTTCAACTAATTCACAAAATCGAGCGACACATCCAACATTGTCATCAGTGAGCTACTATCTCAAGACAGACCCGGTTGAACTCCACTGGTCACTGCTTCCCACCAGAGCTCTAGGAAATACTTGTTGAAGCTAGTCACTAATGAGTATATGCTGATAACTTTCTTAAATTAACTTTAAAGCATTAACTGACTACTGAGTGGTATAAACATGTAAATAAATTTATTAAGATTCAAGTCATAAATTTAACTATTAAAGATAACGATAAATAAACAGGAATTCAACAAACATTTAAACAATCTAAATGTAAGGTGATTGAAATGATGCTACTTTACTACTTATATCAGTGATACGATTCAAGGTGTATTGTCTCAAAGTCTTAATGAGAAGTTATATTTTCAGTGATGAGAGTTTTAATGAAAAATAGTCGAAATTTTCGAATAACTTTTTCTGGTTAGTGTTTTTTAGCGGGTTAGTTTTCTATATGATGGGGTCGCTAACCTCATACCCAACCCTCCTCCTTTATCCGGGCTTGGGACAGGCAGTATTCCCAGAGAGGCCCAACTTCGAGATCAGCAGGCAGGATTCCGTGAGGATCGATCGTGTACAGACCAAATCGCAACACTACGGATCATTGTTGAACAATCAATTGAATGGAATTCGCCACTCTACATCAACTTCACTGTCGACGAGAAAGCATTTGATAGCGTGGACAGGACAACACTATGGAAGCTCTTTCCATACTACGGCGTATCTGAGAAGATAGTCGATATCATACGGAATTCATATGGTGGATTAAACTGCAAAATCGTGCGTGGAGGACAGTTGGCAGACTCGTTCGTGGTAAAGACCGGTGTCAGGCAACGTTGTTTACTCTCACGCCTTCTCTTTCTCCTGGTGATCGACTAGATAATGAAGACGTCAACATCTTAGGGGAAGCATGGGATACAGTGGACATCTAGGATGCAGCTGGGCGATCTAGACTTCGCAGATGGTTTGGCCCTCCTATCACAATAGCAACAACAAATGAAGGAGAAGACGACCAGTGTAGCAGCAACCACAGCAGCAATAGATCTCAGCATACAAAAGGGGAAAAGCAAGATTCCTCGATACAACACAGCATGCAACAATCAAATCACACTTGACGAAGAAGATTTGTAAGATGTAAAAACCTCAACATATCTGGGCAGTGTGGATCTGATGCAGATGTGAAGGCGCGGATCGACAAAGCAAGAGCAGCATATTTACAACTGAAGAACATCTAGAACTCAAGGATCTGTCAATCAACCAACGCCAAGGTCAGAATTTTTAATACAAATGTTAGGACAGTTCTACTGTAAGGGGTGGAATCTTGGAAAACTAGGAAAGCAACCATCCAGAAGATACAAGTGTTTACTAACAGTTTTCTACGCAAAATACTTCGGATCCGTTGACCAGACACTGTTAGCAACAACCTACTATGGGAGAGAACAAACCGGATCACAGCGGAGGAATTCATCAGGAAGAAGAGCTGGGAGTGAATAAGATACATATTGAAGAAAGCACCCAACTACGTCGAAAGGCATGCCCTCAAGTGGAATCCTCAAGGTCAAAGGAAAAAAGGAAGATCAAAGAACATATTACGTCGAGAAATGGAGACAGACATGATAAAAATCAACAAAAATTGGATAGAAGTGGGAAGGCCCAGGACAGAGTGGGTTAGAGAATGCTAGCCGGCAGCCTATGCTCCATTGGGAGTAACAGATGTAAGTACGTCGAAATTCCTACCACACAAACGTTATATTAAGTAAAAAATTCTAGTTGTTTTTATTACCTCCGAAGATATAGGATTTTCATTTGATTGAGATTGTCTAGTTTGTGCATGATGACATGTAATAAATTTGTTGCATGTATTGTTTTGTGTACGATCTGTTGAGAGAACTGATCTACCGCATTGTTCTGCAACACGTTTTTTAAATGTTATACTGTCTTCTAATTGTCTTAGTTGACGAATATTTTCACGAATATAATCTTTTCGACGATTATCTGATAATTTACATGAAACATAGATAAAGTTCTCTAGAGTAAAGTTGTAAATGAAATAAAATTTATTTCGAAAGCTCACTTGATATTACTATCTATCAATACGGGACTAAGTTGTGAAGAATTCCAGAAATAACTTTTTAATCAATTTTAAATCAATACACAAAACAACTGGGTGATTATTTGCTGGTTAGCGTTCTTTTTAGCACAGTTTCTTTTCTGCGGGATGGAGTTGCCGATCCCATTTCTCCTCTATCCGGGCTTGAGACTGGCAGTAATTCTCGAAGAGTTACAGACAGCTATTTACAGATAGCTTTTAATCACTGGATACCACGTACGGTGCGTTATAATAACAAATGACTAGTTAGTTTATTAGCGTAAATGAGAGGAATGCATAATGTGATCCTCAGCGTCAAATGAGGTTGGATTTAATGGAAGTGTTTAAGCAAGTTAATCGGAAAATCCAGTGTCTTAAATTCGTAGATGTTTATCCTTAGACTAGATAATATTGATCATATATGTATTCGAAACATTGCTCGTATATCCTGGGACCAACGAGTAAGTAACGCAGTTGTTAAGAAACGGGTACTAGGTAGGGATGGCAAATCAATTGATGAAGTAGTGAAACTTCATCAGTTGAGATGACTGGGACATGTGTTACGTATGCCCAAACACCAACTGCCCCGACGAGCGATGTTCAGTGGTATAGGAGTAGGTTGGAAGAAAGCTAGGGGCGGCCAGACCAAAACATGGCACAAAACCATGAAGTCACTGACAAGTGGACTGAGCCATGTTGGTAGATGTAGACTACCTGGTTGGGGACCGCGAGATGATAGCGACCGATAGTTAGAGACCCTGAATGACATTGCTCAAAATCGTTTGTAATGGCGAAGGTGCATCCATTCTTTGTGTTCTCCCAAATCCTACTTTCCTGAATCCTCCTTGTCTCTTTTTTTCTCTTTCCAAATTTATTTCACTGGATTATACTCTTTAAATAAAATCTTTAAACCCTAATCTTTCCGATTACTGCCTATACTCTCACCACCTCTATCACTACGGGATTTGAATCGACAACTGCATCTTTGTGCTAATGTGGTGTAGCAACTCGAACTGATGTACGTACGTACGAAGTTCTACGTTGCTACTGACTGACTGACTGTAAACAATTCACTTACTCAGCACCATCTATATTTTCAGTAAAATAAAAACTTAAATCATACTTATTCATGCTTAAACCCATAAACATTGAGGCTTTATATCTAATCATGAAAATCGAATCAACAAAGTAGCTCACCCACTGAAAGTTCTTATTATAATGGACGCTTTTATGAAGTCACCTGAACAGATAGCTACAAAGTATGATTTTTGTTCCATCATTTAAAACTTTTATTCTCAATAAATTGTTCTTCCGAAAGCATATTCATTCTTGAAACAATTAAGTTATAATACTTCAACTCAAATTCAAATACAGTAAACTTATCTGTGTGGTTGTAACGCATCATTATAGTTAATAAGAAGTCATTCTTGATTTATTGTTATTCATACAAAATATATGCACCACCTAATCAACTTTCGTTGAATGTTAATAATACTGAAATGAAACTAAAAATCGAGAACTGTTTCCTTCCAACTTCAGCTGATAAGCTTCGAGATACACCAAAAAGAAAACCCAACGTGTTTTACTGCCAACATTTCTAAGCGTTGCATATTTTTGTCAGTACTTCATAACATCTATGATTTCTTTATGATTGAACTTAGGAAGACTGATGTAGCCCAGATGATATGCACAACGTACATCATAACTTCTCTGTAAACTATAGTTTAAATACTCAACGATAGTTATGAGTCATGAAGTAGTTTTTAAAAGTTTTCCAAACAATTCAATTTATATCAGAAGGGTTCTTGTGGATATTATAGTAATTTCAATGGTTGAGATCATGAGTCAATTAAAGCTAGATCCAGTGCTTTCAGGTTCTTCATGGTGGTCTAGCTTCAACTGACTCATGATCTCAACCACTGAAATTTAATTTATCACAAAATAATGGCATAAAATATCATATTTGTTCGAGAAAATTACTGAAAACAAACCTAACATTCAATTATGACAGAAAATTACCACAACCTAATGAATTACAAGTCTAAATCCGTTGAGACATGTTCAACATAAAAAATATAGAATCGAGAGCTACTCCCTTGTAAGTTGTTCCCGTATGACAAAAAATCGGTTAGAAATTTAACCAGCATGTTAAACATTAAACTCAAATAACAAAAGATTTAGTATGTCAACGTTTTTGTAACCCAGTCAAAATTCCTGTCATTTTTTAGAGTCACACAAAGTGTGATATTTTTATCTACATCCACTGTATATCTACTTTTTGTTTGAACAATAGGCTATCCACCTCCTTTAGTTTAAAGGGGATCACTTAAGCCGATTAAGATTCAAAATACTCCTTCAATTTAAAACCGTCCTAGCTAAAATAAAGACATTAAAATTAGTTCTTATCTTTTGTTACAATTAAAAAAACAGAAGCTCAATTTTGAAAATGAAACTGATACTTACTGCGCAATCGTAACCGATCCAATGAACTGCTTGATGTATTCGTTTGCCATTGTAATAAATCAACATTGTACGTTGGACCATTTGTACATTTGAAGTTGGTTTCATCAGTTGATTTCAGATTATGGTTTATTAGATTTGGTTTGTACAGATTTGTATAGTTATTAACAAATACAGGATGAGATAATATTGACGTCATACTGAGGTACTTTATGGAGTTTGTGTAAAAAATTTACTATGATTGATAAGCTGAATAATAATAATCATAATAAATGAAATTAAAAGATAACTTATTATAACTCCAACCATAACTGTCAAATTTTTTCAGTTAGATCGAATGTACTCTAAAGTCTATTTGCTGATCATGATCTACTTTTTGTCAGGTAACAGATTTTATACTCAATTATCGTTAGAGTGACAAACTTTCATTCGTCAAGTTATTATTTATTTATTTTTATTTAAACAAATAAATATTGGTACAAATGGGCACCGAATATATATGCATTACACAAACCACTTGCTTCATGTAAGGGTTGGGATACTGACCGGGTACCCAAGCCAAAGCAGGTGGTTTTCTTAGTGGCCCATCCCCTGGACCTTTTACCCAGAGGTCTAATCCACAAGGCAGCGTAGCAACATCAGGAGATACAGTCCTATGGTAGTCGGTGACCAACAATACGCCATTTGTTTCCTTAGGATCCTGGATCTCATGTACACCGTTGGCTTGGAACCAGGGTTTTCAAGCTCCCCTATGTGAACTTCCGTGTCCACCAACCAGGTTAAATCGCCAGACATTTGCTTTTCGTCCTCATGATTTCGTAAACAATACCCGTGGTGCGAGAAGGCAGTGAGTAGGAATTTTCTGTCAGTGGCTGTATACGCGTGGCCATGTTAAGGCACTTCGAGAAGGTGAGTTGACTCTTCCCACCCTCATCCATACCACGGCATTCGGGGTTATTTCTCTCTCATAAGCAAAGTTAACCAAATTTAAAAAATCAGAAACACTGGTCGATAATTCTAAAGACCACCACTATACTATTGTGAGAAAAACGATTAAGGTTAATTAACTTCTAAAACAATATAGATCGTTGATACCTAAATTAGTAGACCAAATAATAATATTAATCTATTGGTAAATGTTAACCACTACGACAGCATCCGAGAAAAAGCACGAAAATTCGAGTCACATGCCGAATATACAGAAGCGAACAAAGTAGTAGAGAAAAGCAGCAGAGTTGTAAAGTGGAAGCTCGTAGACTCAACAATTACAGCAGAAAAGGTGTAAGAGGGAATTGAAAAGGCTGCGTGGTACAACCTAAATGCTACCATGGAAATATAGTAGATTTATGCAAGAGCCTATTTGTTGACGTCTTCCACGACGAACGGTAATCAGTAGGGAGGATAGTTTAACGAAGCCTTGGCTGATAGAACTCACCAAGACTTTTAAAGTCTGTCTACGTGACTCTACTTACTGATTAACTCATCAGTACATAAGAGCTTGGGTTTCCGCATGCACTACGATTATCGTACTATTTTGGGGCCAATTATATGGAAGAAATCAGAATTGAAATATAAAACTTTACTATTTTTAATAGTGAGTATTGTTTCTCAGTGTTCTGTTGTTTGATATGTCGCTTGTCATGCATTATAATTGGTTTCTATAAGGTAAAGCTGGATCGAATTAAAAGCCGGTCAGTCACGATTAAATTAGACTGTGTCACAAATGTGATCTAAAAAAACGTGATACATCACATTAGTGTGACGAGATAGAATCAACAAGATGATTATTAAGAGTCGAAACAATCTAGTAACATTATCGATTAAAAAAAGACTAAAACGCGAATATAGTTTGAAAGGATAATGAAAATGTAATCATAAATGAATGGTAGAACTGTAGATCTAGAGAAAAAAGGAGTGAGTTCACCTGAACCATTGAGATAGATTTCGAACTTATTGTCAGACGAACGTGCTGAACCACTGATCATGATCATCACACTGACCCGAACAAGATGATAGTCTGCATGGCTCAACAATGATCATAATATAAGTCAACGAATTCACAAAAAGATGCCACTTTTATATTAACTAACCACTAGCTTTCTTTCAACTAGGTCCCAAAGCAGCCAACCCAAGTAATTAAGTGATCGAAAACGCGCCAAAAGGTCTGCTTTTTTGTCTGCTATTCGGAAATAAAGTGAAACTTCCACTTTTTTCGCCTTAGATTTCGATGTGCAAATGACAAACTGATAATCCAGGTTCTAGCTGAAGCGATTGTTTCAAGAGTAAACAAATAATTTACCTGATTCGTAACGTGTAAGAAGAATGAATCAAAAGGATAAAAGCGGGAACGGAAATGATAATAAGAGAGGTAGGAAGTAGTTACTGGTATGTGGTAATGATAGCCGTGGTAATTTACGAGACGTGCATCAGACACAGATGGTCAAAGAGGAGAATGGTAATCTGTGAATAGGCAGTTGTTTATCAAGTTCCCTCTAAAAGCTATCGACTGATGTGGCCATGGTCACCCCGGCTGGGGGGCGCATTCTGAACGGGAGAAACCTTTGATGAGAAAAAGTAAAAGCGTATCTGTTCTTTGGTGTGCAGTCTTTTGAAGGTTGCCTTGAGGAGCGTGTTGATGATATTCTGGTAATATGTTAGTGTTGGGGTGGTTCGGTGCACTTAATATATTTTCGGCCACTATCAGGTCACTTCTCATTCCCCGGTAACTCAACCAGAATCACCTCGGATGTTGGGGTCTGTCCCATAAGGTTTTTGTTTTAGACATTTTATCCAATTAAGTTCCTGCCTCTGAAATTAGTCCGAGAAACATATTATTTTGTAGTTTAAGCTGGTGTCCTAATTCTCCGTGGTTGCAAGCCCGAGAACGTTCAAAAGAGACAATTGGGAGAGGATTCGCGCGCAGGGTGAAAGCGCTTTGTGTTAAATGAGGAAGAATGTTCATGACGTGATATTTCGACAGGTTATGTTTGAACTGTTTATCTATTGCCGATTTTTCTATTGTAGGGTACCTTTTAAACTCAAGTGAATAATTTTCGCTCTTTGTAGATCTTTAAATCTTTTCGTCATCTGCAGAGATTAGCGGAATGATCTAAGACATCTTAGGTCGATACTGACAAACCAGCTGCTCACCGTGGACTTCGACCAAAACGATGTGCTTAAGGCTCTTAGCACCCTAAACATGGAGAAGTCAACAGGACCAGATGAACTACACCCTAAAATCTTGAGACATATTGCCGAATATATCGCAGCCCCACTGACTGTGATATTCAAAATGTCACTTGACCAAGGTGTGTTACCTATGGACTGGAAGGACGCAATCGTCACTCTCATACATAAAACAGGTCTACGACAAGTTCCATCAAATTACAGACCCGTAAGCCTCACCAGTGTTGTAATTAAAATACTGGAAAGAATAATCAAACGGACCATAACAGCATTTATGGAAACCAATAACTTGCTGAACATGGCACAACATGGTTTTAGAAAGGGTCTATCCTGTACAACGAACCTCCTTATAGCTAGGGAGCTCTGGATTAATGCGCTAGACAACGGAAACTCAGTGGATGTTGTCTACATAGACTTCAGTAAGGCTTTTGACGAAGTGCCAACTAATAGACTGCTATTGAAGTTGGCAAATCTTGGTATTGCCGGACCTCTTTTAAAATGGATTAAGGATTTCCTAGTAGGTCGTAGGCAAAAGGTAAGAATAAATTCCAAGTGCTCCACCTGGAGACCAGTACTTAGTGGAGTACCCCAAGGTTCCGTCTTAGGTCCTTTACTTTTTATAATGTACGTTAATGATCTTACAAGTATAGTACAGTCTCCAATGTTATTATACGGTGACGATGCAAAAATTTGGCGAGTAATAACTGGAGACAAAGACGCATTTACTCTTCAGGGGGACTTAAGTAATATGATAAACTGGTCTAAAGAGTGGCTAATGCCTATCAACTCGGAAAAGTGTGTCTACATGCACTTGGGGGATTCAAAGGTTAATACGTACAACATAGGGGATGTGTCATTACCCGTAGTCCGGTCTCATAAGGACCTAGGGGTGACAGTGAGCAATGATCTTAAGACGACGGCCCATTGCCGGGAGGTCGCAGTTAAGGGGTTTCGAACCCTCTGGGCTTTAAAAAGGACATTCACTAAGCTTGATACTACCATGTTCACCACATTATACACATCCTTAGTGAGAACTAAGTTAGAGAACTGTGTTCAGGCTGCAAGCCCCTGTTTAAAAGGTGACTCAGACATACTAGAAAAGGTACAGAGGGCAGCTACGCGTGCAATTCCGGAACTCCGGGGTTTATCATATAAAGAGCGGCTTGAAAAACTGAACCTCTTTACTCTGTCCTATCGCAGACTAAGGGGAGATCTACTATTAATGTACAGAATACTGAGAAATGATTTCGGACATAACTTATTCTCTCTCTTTCTTCCCACTAGATCGGGACACCTCAGAGGACATAGCGGGCGAGTAGAAAAGCCAAGAACGAACAAAATACCCGTGGCATACAGGTTTTCACACCGAGTCATCAATACTCGGAACCTCCTGCCTGAAGCAGTGGTGTCCGCACCTTCAATTGACTCTTTCAAGAGAAAACTGGACACTCACAGAAGCATACTAGAAAAGGAATAACATAGGCCGTAGGCCTTCTGTCCTTACTACACAAATCTGAATCTGAATATATATAATACATTATTAAACTGCTGATGTATAATCATCTGAAATCGTTTCGACAAGCAAATTATAGAAAGCTAGCAACTCAATTGAATTCAAATACTAACACAGGATTCCTTTAATTATTGAGAATGTTTTCAGAAACATGAGAGTTACTCGGAATGAGAATTTTCGTTACAAGCGCTGATACATTGTTACCAAAAAGCGTAAACAGTCGTTTATTAAAACAATAATTAATTATGTGGTTATTCCTAACAGATACTTGAAAATTTTCCGTCACAGGCTTCATTCTCACTTATCGTTCTGTATCTCTGACTTGAAAAATGCCTTAGCATGTTTCTTATATGAGGACCTTTAAATATATGTTCGTGTGATAAAGTAATATAGTACTTCTATGTCCAAATTATCTTATACATAATAGTGCATAGTATAAGAATCATATTAGGTTTCGATTTACATAAGAGGGGACGGAATAAGCCATAACGTATATAACG